GACCAAACATTAAAGTAGATGTCCTTATTTGTCATTTTCAGTGGAAGGCTTCCTTTCTGCTTGGCGTCCATAAAGCTCATGATGACTAGGGCTAGGGACAACAGCTTCCTGCAGCAGTAATTTATGTGAGAATGTGTTAACAGTGTTTTCAGTGGTTGATGGATACGTCGCAGGATGGGAAAGGAAGCTGTCCTGAGCCACTTGAATTTCCCATTGGCGAGGAACATAAAGATGTAAGTGCCAGCCTCTGCTCCCAGCAGGCGGACATTCACATCTCTTTTTGTGACCCCATGTCTGAGAACTTGAAAAGGTATTGGTATGTTCAGTACAACCCAGGGGGGAGTGGATGGCTGAGGGTCATCTGGCTGAGGTGTCAATTAATTGAAAGGTTCTGAGACTGACCTACTGACGCAGATTAGAAGACTTGACCAAAAGCATAAGCCTCCCCCTACTATAGACTGATATTTTTGCTTGAAAATCAGACCATCATTTATGCTGTCAAATTTCAAACATATAACTTTATAGCCATTTGAAGTATTTCAATGGATTTGTTATTCTTGGCTTTTATATAATTTACATAAAAGTTTCCTAGGGTGTATTATGAAAAAATGATTTTCTAATGATGCGGCACCTTGAAAAAACATTTTCGTCAATGATACGAAGTGTGTGACGTCGGTGACCCATGAGCAAGTGCATTTTTAGATGCAGGAAAAGGCAATTTCCCAGGTCAGTTCTGTTCTCACTACTCCACCTATCTTCAGGCCTCAAAAGTATTTTAAAGCATTTCTGGGTTTAATGACCTTTTCTAAGGAAAAATAATTAAGGTTTTATCTATACCGTCTTGAACCTAAGCAGGACTCCTTAGGAGCTGGATGAGTGAGGAGGGATAGAAAGTATATTAAAAAATCAATTATCCCATGGATGCAGCCTAGCGAAAAAGTAAATGGAAAATATGAAATTTAACCAGTTACAGCTTGGAGTTCAGTTGAAGAATCTGATTTTGCAGTTGAAGAATCTGATTCTGAGAGGAAAATTGATTTGCTCAAGGTCATATGGCTATTTATAGCAGAGTCGAGTTTTTAGAATCTTTTGAATTTACTTTTATTAACCCAAATACGTCGCACTAAACAATTTTTGTTGTTGTTGCAGTTTTTTAAGTCAGAGTCAAAAGTTGGGCTCTGCGGGTACCCAGCTGTGTGGCCCTAGACAAATGACTCAACCTCTCTCATCCTCGGTTTCCTCATCAGAAACTGGGACTGTTAGTCGGCAGGTGGTTGTGCCAATTAAGAAGAATAACCTCTTCAGTGCGCCCTACCCAAAGCAGAGTCCCCATTAATATTCGTTTCTTCTCTCATCGCTTTTATTTTGAACAGAAAAAATGCAATGTCCTGCAAAACATTTCCGAGTGGCTTCTCCTCCTCCTAAAGTTTTTAGTTGCATTAGATTTCTCCCTCCAATACCATTTAGATTCATTTTAAAGTCTCTTGAGGGGCAGCGCAGTCATTCTGACATTTGTCTTCTGACTTGGAATAAAACGACGTAACGCGATCGCCGGGCAAACCGTTGGTCAGTCTAACTCCCCAGGGATGGCAGGGGGCGGCGGCGGCGGCGGCTCCACGGAGGATGCTGCCCATCTCCCCGTCGCGGTG